AAAAATCACAAAGGTAACAGACTTATGGAAAAATGTAAGGAAGAGTCAAAGCACAGGATTATATATAAATATCCCATGGTATGATCAATAACATGGTATAAATTGTGGAACTTTAAAAAAATTAACAGTGTTTAAAATTTTCCAGGACAGGCTCCAAAGCCACAGAGAAACCCTGTCTCGAAAAACCAAAAAAAATAAAAAAATAAAAAATAAATAAATAAATAAATAAAAATAAAAATAAAATTAAAATTAGTTTATTTTGGGATACATAAACTCTAACACACACACACACACACACAGTGTTTCCTCTACAGGACAGAATCAATACCCTCATGAGCTCATAGCAGCTCTGATAACATGTAGAACACTTTCATAAAATCAAACCACTGAACACTCCAGCATGAAATGAGATGTGGTTCATTAGGTCTTACCTCTAATTGAGGAGCTGTGGATAGCTGATAGTTTTCAGGTGAGAGAAAGTGGTCTTTAGGAGTGTTGTGATGACTAAAGTTACATTGGAATTTTAAATTACTGTTCTTAAGAGACAAAAATGTCTCTGCCCTGTAAGCCCCACTTTCCTAAGGACAAATAACTTGCTGGTATGTTGGGGGCTGTTATTTGTGTAAGATAATCTTTGTGTTTCCCTTCTGTGATCAAGCTTAGTTGCTACAACTGCACAGGATGTGAGTAGGAGGTGAGGAGGCAAGAAGTAAGGCAGGTCATTTGCTTGTCCCTGACTAGATGAAAGCAGAAAGTACATAGCCTTTGGACTTTGCCTTTAAGACCCTGACTAATGTAATGTGTAGCCATACTCTAGGAATCTCGGGTATGAAGCCAGCTATTGTTCATTGTCTTGACCAGTAATTTAATAAAGTTTGCTTTAAATTTGGGTCAAAAATCATGGTAGAAATCTTATTCTTATCCAGTGGAATTAACAATGTCTCCTTGTAGGCTGACCACCGTGTCTAGAAGTATATAGACAGCAAAAGTTGTAGTTGATAGATTATTTGAAAAAATACCTAAATAAGAAGGACAGAGTACAATGTTGACCTGAGATGAATCAAGAAGAGCTGAGGTATGATCAGCATCCATAAAATGAAATTCTCAAATAAGTAATAAATATATTTTATTCAAGTATATTCAAGTAGGTAACATATATATATATATATATATATATTATACATGAATATACTCATTTTAAAGTGCTTCAACATTATCTTGAAGTTGATTTATTTGAACATATATATTTAAAAGAAAGGTGTGAACTTTTACAATACATGATCCTTTACTATTCATAATATACAAAGCAGGAATGAATGTTCTACAATCTAATGGATAAAACAGAATAATTTTGTTTATTATTTATACATGAAAATAGTCTAATGCAGTTATGGGGCTATAGCATGAATTAAACTTGAAACCATGATGATAAGTGAAAGCAGAAGGCACAGGATGCTGGAAAGGGCAATTTATATAAAATACCGAGAACAGAAATAGCAGAAAACAGAAAACAGATTGTTTTCTGGGGAAATGAGAATGATTGAAAATGGATATTCAGGCTGGAAAGATGGCTCAGCCATTAAAGCCTAGGATCACAACCAAAAATAAAAATGGATATTCATTTTTTCTTTGTTATGACTAATATGTCCTGGAATCAGATAAGTGTTGATTGTATAACTACATAGATACACGAAAACTGCTGCATTGTATATTCTTAGAAGGATCAATTTATGATATGCAAATCATGCATGAAGGATAACTCACAGAAATTATCATTAACTTTTGTTGAACATGTGGCTTGTTACTTGTACACCAGGCAAGCAGATATCCACTTGTTCTCAGTAAGTTCTCATATCAGTAGTCCTGTTATACACCTTAACTTCTCAGTTTGTACCTGCAAGCATACACAACCCACCTTCCTAGAATATCATGCAGACTAAAATTCTTTTCTTTTAGCTCATGCTAAAGGAATGAAACTATTATTATTCCTAACATGGATCATTATATCCTATAATATGTAAATAAAACTAAGAGAATAGTAGTTTAGACAGGAAATAGAAACAAACTTCTAGATTCCTGCTCATCCTTGGTTTTAAAGCATATCATGATTGCTAGGATTAGTTAACGGATAAAACTTGACCTTATCAGTTAAGGTGGAATTTTTTTAATGGATAATCACAGAATTATATAACAACCAACAGTAAGGTTATCATCCCTGAAGGTATACAAATTCTGAATATCTTCTAATAATGAAACTCCTGCCTAATGAGACTTCCACTATAAATGGGAAATACTTTATTTTTCTAACACAGTAGGATTTGAAAATTTGTCTGAAATTCAGTACCCATATATCTTAACTATTTATGACTTCCTTATCAATAAAATACTTACATCTTACTTTTTGCTGACCATAAAGAATCCATTATGTAAAAAAAAACTTTTAAAATTATTTTATATGCTGTTTGTATAATTTTACAGGCTTGCAAACATATATAAATACTAGAGGATTACAATGAAATATACTGTTATTCAAAAACTATTAACTTGGAAGATTTTTATGCAAAATTTTTTTCTAACTATAGAGAACTGGTTCTAGTATCTCTGAATAGCTACAGTATTGTGACCAAATTATATGAGGTAGTAATATCACTCATTTATAAACACCACCTTGAGACAGTAAGATGACTCAACAGATAAAGGTTCTTGCTACCTAGCTTGATTTCCAGAAACAAACATGATGAAATAAACTCCTCCACCTTGTCTCTGACATGGCATACTGTGACATGTACCCTCCCCCATATAAATAAAAGCAAAGGAAATAATACACACATTTATCTCTGTAAACTTGCAATTTTGAGGTTATCTTATTTGCAGAAGAATAGACTCTGTGCCTTTATCTTTGTGTTCAAGGGTTAATAGAGAAGCCCCTGGGCTTTTGGTTCTCCATTGTATTTCTTGGGAACCAGATTCTTATATTAGCATTGCCAATGTAACAGGATCTAGAATCATGAGAGATGGGCTTCTGCACATGCCTGTGAGAAATTATGTTAACTGAGATGGGACACCCCCCCCCCCACACACACATACACATTGTTGGTGGCACCATTTCTAGACAAGGGATCCTGGACTGTTGACAAATGAAGAAAGAGCTGAGCACTAGAAAGCCTTCTGCAGGTTTCAGACTATGAATGCAAAGTGAGCAGATCTCATGAGCCCTCCGCATCAACTCAACTTCCCTGCTAACATGAACTATTACTGGAACTGTGGGCTAAGATGGACCTTGTCCCCTTCAAGTTGCTTTTGTCAAAGTGTTACAGTGACAGAAAAGAAACCCACATTTCTATTTATATGAGCAGATGCTGTGAAATAAAAGGCTTTTGTATGCTCCAGAAACTGGTTCTGAAACCATTAAATTTCATTTCTGGTTTCAATTAAATCTGTCACAGAATAGCACATACCAGACATCAAGTTTGAGGGGATTTAAGGTCTAGTTAAATATAACCAAGGAGTGGTGTTTTCACCATTTTTTGGTAAACTAACTGATAAGGTAATGAACTATAAATAACTGAGTCTCTGTGATTTGTCAGGTTTTTCCTCAGTAAATTTTAATATGTATATACTTAGATGATTTAGAAGAGATCAGTCAACAGCAGCAACTTGGCAATATATACTTTAGAGCTACCTTTGAATGGAAAGCAGAGTTGAATTAAGTGCATTAAAGTAATCTCTTTGATTTTACTTCCTCAGCTTTTTCATTTTTATTCTTTTTTTTTTTTTTGCACCCAGCCCGCCCAACCTGCTCCCTCTAGTTCCCATCCTTCCATCCCTCCTAAACCCCACCCTGCCTCCTTTCCCAGTTTATCCAGGAATTTTTTTCTAATACTTTCTCTGGGAAACCCATGCAACCCTCTATGGGCCCGCCTTCTTGTCTAGCCACTCTGGCGCTGTGGATTGTAGGATGGTTATCCTAATCTTACTTTAAGACACTCCTCCACAGCTTGTGGGAGTGCAAACTTATACAGGCAGTTCGGAAAGCTGTATGGCTATTTCTTAGAAAATGGGGAATCAGTCCACCTCAAGACCCAGCTACACCAATTTTAGGCATATACACAAAGGATGCATGATCTCACCACAAGGATTCTTGATCAACTATGTTCACAGCATTATTCATAAAAGCAGAACCTGCAAACTTTCTCAGCTTTGAGGGGTAATGGTGGTTGTTGGAGAATTCACCACAGCTTTTTCAAATCTAGAACACGTGTAGCATCAATGATTGTAAAGCAAATATAACATTAGCATGAATATTAACACAAATAAAAGTCTAAGATTTTGTTTACATTTTCCTAGTTAGTACACTACAAATGCTATAAATAAAATGCTATGAAAACAAAAACAAAACATCCTCCTTTTCTTCCCTGTCTTTGCCCTATTAATTTTTTCTGGGAAATCAGAACAATATCACATATGCATGCTTTCTATGAAAAAGCAGTGTGTCCATTACTGGTTAATGTATATCAGTTGTTCCAAGTGGCTTAGCAGAAGAGGTCCCAGGTGGCTTAAATTCATTCTCCTAACTCGGGATATAACTTTACACAAAGTCATGGCAAAGGAAGCAAGAATCAAGTCTATTTCTTTAAAGAACAGTATTTATTTCATGACTAAAGTGAAATCAAACAATTACGAAAAATTGGGGAAGTTAATGATTTTCCTATTTTAGATTTATAAATTGAGACTATAATTTTAAAATATTCTAAAAGTCATTCATATTATTTATGATATAGTGTGTTTTAAAGTTACAATATAAAATGGAACATCCCTTTAAAACAAATGCTTATTTTCTAATCCCCTTAATAAGCTATTAATCTATCTTTATGAAGGTTTACAAGACCTTTGTCTTTAATATTTTATTTATTTCTCCTTAACAAAACTGAGAAGTTTCCTAAAGTTCAACGTAAATTTTTCGCTGAAGAATTCATTACATATCTATGAGTAATCTCTGTCTAACTGACAGACATATACTTGATCCATTTATTTGTACCACGTACTTCAAATGGTGGATTGTGGTAGTAGAGGTGATGAGCTAATTCGTCCAAAGTTGGTTCTGGATCAGTTATAGCAAACTGGGCTGCTTCCTCAACTTCTTTTCTCACATCTGCATCAATTTCCTTCAACTCTTCAACGTTGCTGAGGTTGTTGTTTATCATTCTCTCTCGGAGAAGCATAATAGGATCACTCTTGCTTCGCATGTTGTGAACTTCTTCTCGTGAACGGTAACTGACCCCTGGGTCACTCATACTGTGTCCATGATAACGGTAGGTCTGCAGTTCCATCAAAATGGGCCCCTTTCCAGATCTACAGTGATCAGCCGCAAACTTGGTCGCCTCACGGACAGAGAGGATATCCATCCCATTCACCCTCAGTCCAGGGATAAAATTGCCTCTCTTGTGATAATCAGTGCTGGCTGCTGCTCTCTCAATGGCCGTCCCCATTCCGTATAGGTTATTCTCACAGATGAAGACACAAGGTAATTTCCACAAGGCCGATATATTGTAAGCTTCGGCCACCTGCCCCTGGTTAGCCGCACCATCGCCATACAGAGCCAGGCAGACCTGACCATTTCCCAAGTATTTACAGGCAAAAGCGACACCGGCTCCCAGGGGTACCTGTGCCCCAACAATGCCATTGCCTCCGTAGAAGTGCTTGCCGTACATGTGCATCGAGCCTCCTTTGCCCTTGGCACAGCCTCCTCGGCGTCCAGTCAGCTCGGCGAGAATGGATTTGACCGACAGCCCCCGTGTGTAGCACAAGCCATGAGCCCGGTAGGACGTGATAATGTGATCTGTGGGATTGATCCCTGCTTCCAGCCCCACACAGCAGGCTTCTTGCCCGTCACACAGGTGACAGAAACCACGAATGAACTTCTGCTTGTACATCTGGTCAGACTTCAGCTCCATGCGCCGAATCACCTGCATGTTCCGGTAGTACTTGAGGGCCTCCTCTCGGGTGAGCACGGTGGAGGTCGGAGGGCCCTCTTCCAGCCGGTACAGGTCGCATTTCTTAATGTCGCAGGTGGCGTCGTTGGAGAAGTTCAGGGACGCCAGCAGCCCTCTCATGGCTGGCTTCTGGGTCGCTCCCGAAAACACGTGGGACACCACAGCGGCCAGCATCTTCCTCATGGAGAAATGCGAGGCCCAAACGGTAGCGACTCCAACGACCACTCCGTGGCTTCGAAGATGGCGGCCCAGCTTCTCTGACGCAAGAATAGCACGACCCAATTACAGCTCCTGCGACAGCAAACTAGAGGCCCCGCCCACGGGGGCGGGTCCTCGGTGCCTTCCAACCTAAAAATGGAGATTTCAGACATGTTCGTGGTGGTTAACACCACCATTCTCACCCCCACAGCAGCTGTCTGTTCTCTGTACAACCCACTAAGAATCCTGACTAGTGTACTAGAGACCTCGGGTTCAGTCTTAGCACCCCTAAACTGGGACAGTATCTGGGGCATAAATTCATGTGATCGCAGACACTAGACAAGGAAGCTTGCAGGATCCAGACTCTAGTCTTATCCTCAGCCAACTTGATGCCTCTCTGGGAAATGACCCTCCCCTTCCCCATCCCATAAACAAGGAAGGGAATTCAGAAGGTGGAAGGAAGGTGAAGGTGGGCAAGACAGAGTCCGGAGGAAGGAAGGGGATGGGTAGAGGACAGGACAGAGGGAGAGACAGAAAAGAAAATGCCAAATGACATCATTCTTCTAACTTTGTGTTTCGTTTTGTCTTTTGTTTGTTTTATTTTTTGAGACTGTGATTCTCGGTATTACAGTCCTAGCTATCTTAAAATTCACTTTTTTTTTGTAGACCAGTAAGTTGGTTGGCTGGCCTCGAGCTTACAGATTTGCCTGCCTCTGCCTCACAAGTGCTCAGAATAAAGGCGTGCGCCACCACTGTTTGGCTTAACTTTATGTTTTTAAAGGAAAGAAAAATTTAACACCATCTTCATATATTTATTGAAAAGTATTTCCATATACATTGAGTACACAAGTACTCATCACTCATATCCAGCCTGATCATGGCCTGCCACTTGTTCGTGGTGCACTGACAGTCTATTTTCTTTCTAATAATATAAAAGGTTTTAAATGATGATTTTTTTTTTGTGATTGTTTTTTAAAGGTCCTAGGAGAGAGGTTAAAGTGTTTCTTCCTGCTCCTATTTTTCTGTTCCTGTTTTGGATCTTTAAAATACATTTGGTAAGCCTACTCTATTCTATACTACTTTTATTTTAATGAAAAAAATGAAGTTGCAAATTATGTATAGTTTACACTATTTAAATGCTAACTTTTCGAAATAACTCTGCCCCTAAACTGTTTACAAGTTAATGTTCTTGAGAAAAATGGCACTTTTTAGACTTCTGTCACAATTTTGAGGTTCCCAAACCTCAGCCTGAAGAAGGATATTAAACCTTTGTCTTCTATGGGCAGTGAACACAGAGTTGATTCCATTAGAAAGTATGCAGAACGTCAGGCTCTTTACCATTGTGATAGTTCTGAATTCTGCCTGGATTTTTGTTGTTGTTGTTTAATTTTTTTTTTAGTTGTTGAAAAAAAATTCTGCCTCCTCCCCGTTTCCCATTTCCCTCCCCCTCCTCCCACACATCGCCCCCTCCCTCACTCTCCTCCCCCTCCCCCCACTCCATTTCCCCTACCTCTACAGAATGAAGAGCAGAAGGAGGGAGAACATGAGCAAGGAAGTCAGGACCACGAGGGGTGCACCCACCCACTGTGACAGTGGAATTGATCTATTGGGAGCTCACCAAGGCCAGTGGGACTGGGACTGAATAAGCATGGGATGAAACCGGACTTTCTGAACACGGCGGAAAATGGTACTAGGTTTCGATCCTAATACATGAACTGGCTTTGTGGGAGCCTAACCTGTTTGGATGCTCACCTTCCTGAACCTGGATAGAAGTGGGAGGACTTTGGAATCTGGTCTGCCTGGCCACCTTTTGTTGTGACTAAGGTGAGCATGGTTTTTCCTATTCTTAAAGATATCTCTAACAGGTTTACAAAGATATTTGCTTATATAGTTTGCTTGGAATACATCTAAATTTAACCTATCTTAGTAGGGAATATAAAACCATTTCTCCCCCCTCCGTGTGTGTGTGTGTGTGTGTGTGTGTGTGTGTGTGTGTGTGTGATTTTAAGAAGGTAGGGATGTGCCACAGCTCATGTGTGAAGGTGGCAGGACAGCTGTGTTAGTTCCAAAATATTTGCCTTCATAATGGCAGTGCAAGGGACGGAGTTCTAAACAGAAAGAATTTGTCTGGAGGCACAGAAACCTAAGGTGATTTGTTGTTTACAAAAAGCAGATTTCTGAGGTGATGGTTTCTATTTACAAGGAACCACCCTTGTTTTTCCCAAAGGTCAACTACCTTTGGCAAAGGCACCTATTTCTTAGTAATTCTGCTCAGCCTATATCAGCTCAAAGATGTAGTAATAGGGGCGGCAGGGCTGCGTTCTCAGCACCCCCGGCCGCCTGCCCGGCTAGCTTATGCCCAAAATAATTACACAGACACTGTATTCTTTTAATCACTGCTTGGCCCTTTAGCCCTAGCCCTTACTGGCTAAACCTGTTATCCCGATCAACCCATCTCTAATAATCTGTGAGAACCGGTCTTACCGGGAAGATTCTAGCCTAGTCCATCCTGGGTCGGAGCTTCATAGCATGCTTCTGCCCAGGAGCCAGGAGCATGGCGTCTCTCTCTGAGGTGGCTCTCTCTGGCGTCTGCTCCCGAGAGAGCTGTGGAGTCTCTGACCTCACTTCCTCTTCCTCCCAGCGTTCTGATCTGTTTACTCCACCTACCTATGTCCTAACCAATAAAATGGGCCAGGGCAGTTCCTTTATTAGCCAATGACCTTCCTCCATCATTTCCCCTTTTTCGGTTTAAACAAAAAAAAAGGCTTTAGCATAGCAAAATTACATATAACAAAACAGTTATCAAGTAAAAGTTACAATAATCTTTATCATAACTAAGGAAAACTATAACTATAACTAACTATTCTTAACTCCATCAAAGACTCCAGAAAGATATAATATTACCTAAGTAAACAAGAACTAAGAAACTTCAAACTCTAGAAATGACAAAGACATCTCGCTGCCTGGACAGTCACCCAAAGTTCTTTTGTACCATTGGGGCATCCATCTTCAGCCTTCAGGCCCATGGTATCCAGCAGACATTTCCATAAAGCAGGAAAATTCAAAGTCAGTTCAGTTACTATCTGTTGTGTCCTGCAGAATGTCTCGCAGACTCTTTCAAAATGAATCAGGAACCCCGAAAGATCATCTCACCTTAGGCAAGTTCAGTAGTCCTCTCTCTGCGGGTTCTCTGTTTCCAGTTTATGGAATAGTCCAGGCAAGAGCAGTTTCTTGCCCAAATGGCTATCAAAACTCCATAACGAGCCTCTTCGATGCCCATCTTCCTCTTGAAGTAGATTGGTGCTGCCAGGAGCAGAGTGTCTCATTGTCATGAAAAGTCCTCAGTTATTAAAACATTTAAAATGCCATATTTTATAATCTTTGAAAAATATGAAGAAAACCTATCTAAAACATATCTATGTACATCTAGAAAATCTTAACTAACATGACTACAATCTTGACTATTATCATTATCTATTAACAATCTATATTTCTAATTATACATTACATTTTTAAATGAACTACACAATCACAGTTCCTTAATCAAGATCAGAAACACATATACATATAACAAAATTGACCTTAAATCACTAAAACAAAATCCATATCAATGTAAATTATTCATATCTCTATCATATCCCCCTTTAAATGTAAAAGAACATTTATAAACAATATTTGGGAATATGGGCGCAGTTATATCTCTCCAAACTGTTTCCTGCTGAATGGGGGCGTCGTTAATTAGGTCTTTCATGGTATAACCTGTGTGTTAGTTTCATCTCAGTTGGCAGTTGAGCGAAGCAATTTTCTGAAGATGTTCACAACAATCCTTCAGGAGGGCGTGGTCCATCATACCAAATCGGAATAGAAGAAACGAACAGGGTCTCATCCTCTGTGAAAACAAAATAAGAAACTCCTTTCCAAAGTATCATGTCCTTAGATCCAAATTTTAAAGTCAAGGCATTTTTACAATATGTATGTTGGATTAGTTCAGCAGCATTTATAAATAAATATCTTTTAGCATCTGTTGCTCCTTCCTCAGCATTTAAATAATTCAAAGAGAGCATAATAGCATACAGTATCAAAATTCTCTGTCTATTTTCCATCTTTGTACAGCTTTGTTTTAACCACTATTTTGTTTATTTTTAATTTTAACTCTTTGCTTTTTGAGACAGGTTCTCTGTATCTTTGACCTGATATAACTCTGTAAACCAGACTGTCTTTGAACTCTCAGAGATCCTCCTGTCTCTGCCTCCCAGGCATTCGGGATTAAAGGTGTAAGCTACTCCACCTTGAACTCACAGAGATCTGTTTGCCTCTGCCTTCTAGGCACTGGGATTAAAGGCGTGTGCTACCACACACAACAACTCTCTTCCTTTTTTTGTTTTTTACTTTACGAACTTCAACTTTTAGTCTGCATATATTTTTAACACACTTCAAACCATTTAGAAATTTTCTTTGTTTTTGAATCTCTCTTTACTGTATATCTCTCTTTTTCTGACCACACGAGTCTTTAATTTACCAAGCAATATCAGTAGGATTAAAGGCGTGGCTTTGCCAGCTAGATCCAGTCCATTCCTTAGCTTTCCAGCCTCATGGCGGATATACAGGCTGTAGCCATGTTTACTGCAACAACTGTATGGCATTTCAAGGTCCCTGCCAGCAAGTGAGCTACAACAGACAACACTCAAGTCCTCTCTCTGGGTAGCCGGCCCTCCTGCCTCAAACAGTCAGAGTTTGCCCTGGCAGGATGGCCCAGAAAGCTGGCATTTTTAAATGGCGCAGCTTTTTTCCTGCTACGGCTGAAAACCGAAAAGCATGTGTTCAGCTTTTCGTCAACACCATTTAAGTGTTTCGTGGCAGGAACTCTTAATGAGCTGCAGGGTTTTGCAGCTAAAGCTGAGTCAGGAAGCCTCTCTTAGATGAGGCGCTTGCTTGCCTCTAACAAGCAGAGCAGACCCAAGAACACAGCGAATCTAGTTGCCATC